TATCTACATGCATATATATTACTATTGGCTTCTTTCCTTTTTCAAGATGGTGACAGAGGAAAAGATGTAAAGAATGAACAATGGAAAAGGCAATTAAGAAGTAGCCAGTGAATGAAAAAGACCAGGGACAAGAGGAGAATAATGTTAAAACAATAAGAGAGGTGAAGGCAATGGTGCTGTTAACATATATGGTTTGATCCCCATCCAATCCTCCGGTAATGTTGTGCGAGTACTGCCAGCTTTACAGGACGTAACCGCCAACGCTTCAGTTGGGAGGATACCACCAGCTGACGAGCCATTAATGATAAGTCGCTGAGACGTGGTGATATGGCATTCATTCTGCAAACTGCAGGAAGATATGGACGTAGAGGGGGAATTAATGTGTCAGTCAGAGCCCATGTGCTGGCCTGGTAGAAGAGTACACCAGAGCCATAAAAGAACTCATTGACAGGATGTGGTAATGGTCCTCGGAGACTCCCTCGGAGACAGATTCACTTTCTGCTGAATGACTGCTCGGCAAAGAGGACCAAATAGAATTAGCTGACCGGGGTGTCCTCCGCTGTGTGGTAGTGTGGCCATTGAGGCTGCTGCATTAATGTTTCGCATACAGGCCACTATAATATTTGCACAGGAGAAAGAATACCAGGGAAATTGGAGGAGCTAGGGAAGATGGCAAAGTGAGGCCTAATGGAGATAGGATGACACTCCAGGAGAGTGCATGAACAAACTGAGAAGGGATAAAATACCACTCTATTTCTTTCCATGGCTCTCCAATGAAAGAAAATGATGTCCTGACTTGAAGTACCTCAGATGTGTCAGAGACTGGCCAGTTTGGAAAGTTCATTCATTGCAGAAGGATGGAGGCAGAAATCAGTAATACTAAAAGACGGTTTAAGTTAATTAGTAAATTGCTTAATATCACTGTCAAGTGATAAATCAGCAAAAAGAAACAAGAAATCCATGAAGTGGTTAGGAGCCAGAAAGATATTACTGCTGGTGATATGAGGATTTTGATGAGTTGTTGGGGAAAAGAGCGTAAAAAATGTGCTTGTTTACATTTTAAGTACATGTTGTTTGCTGAAGGTTTCTTCCTGTTAAAAGGGAGTTTTTCCTTCCCACTGTCACCAAGTGCTGACTGCTGGGGTTCTGTCTATTATTGTAGGGTCTTTAGAGCCTTGAGATGGCTGTTGTTTCGATTTGGTGTTATAAAAATAAAATTGTTTTGAAATTCTTTATACAATTTCACCCAACATTGACCCTGTGACTGCACACTAATTGTCCCATTCTACAAGCACAACCAATCACTCAGCCCACTTTCTGCAGAGCTAAGACGTGTTCTGGGGCATATGAGAGCATTTTAGCAGCTCAAAGTATTTAGATCCAGACTTAACGGTGAATGATGTTCCCATGTGTGCAGCACAGTCTCACGTGAATACATTTAGTTTCTGTGTTGCTACGCTGTTTCTTATTTAAGCTGTGGTTACTTTCTTTGCAAGCTTCAAATTTAGCATAGCTTTGTGCAAACACATTAACCGTTGCTTTAATGACAGTAAACACAGTGAAAAGACTGTTCTACTTAAGAATTCCTAATTTTGTGGGTTGTTTTATGCCTCTGAGGTGCAGGCATATGACGAGCCAATATCAAGGGTATATTATATAAAATCACACTCAATACTTCTCATTGTCAAACATGACATCACATGACAGGCCTCTCAACAAACACTGGTAACAATGTGAACACTATACCAAGATTCTGATTGCTTGTTTCATCAAGGCAGGCCCATCTATATGAAGCTATTTCTTAGGGCACCCTCGCACTTAACTAGAAACGACTGGGCAATTGCTAAAGATTTCAAATCTGACATGCTCTGGAAACACGCCATTGGGTGCTATATCAAAGCATTGCTTTGATGCAAGCGAGTTCCACAAGGTGCAGCAATCTAAACTGACTTTGCTGTAGCAACTCGTCAGTGTTATTTAAATACAGTGTAACTGATTGCACCCTGGGGGCACACCTGGAAGCAATATTCTAATTAAGTTAATCTGTGAAATCCCGACAATGTGGGTGTTCAGGTGCCTGGTAATCTGATGTGAAAGGAGCCTTTGTTTTCACTGGAAAGATTCGGGAGGAGCTGGCACCTGTTTTAGCAAAACGTTGCAGAAAATTATCACTGTCGAGTTATCCTGAGTGCAGGCAATTACAAATGACAGTGTTTGTCTTTCTCCTCATGGAACCCAATTTTTACACCGTCATATTTTTTTCCTGCTTTTGGTGATGGCCTGTCAAATTATTTTTTCCCCATTCTTCTCCCTTCCTCTGCAATTTGATATGGATGATTCGCAACTCTCATCACCTTGATTATGGTAATACGTGTTTCTGAGGCAATAAAAAGGGCAGGGCTGCTATAGCCTTTATCCAGATGTTCTTTTCTTCTTGCACGCTTGGAAAACACGTCAACACTAACAGAGACTTTTCAAAGAATCCACAACAGCGAAAGAGCGAAACGTAGTTTTGGAATTATGCCGTTGCTCTGTTACATTTCCTGTTGGCTTTAGGAGAAATCTTTTGTTTACAGTCAATACCTCTGCTCGTGGGAATGGAACTTTACCACTACTGGAAGAACAGAACACTTTAACACTTATTTTTGAGGCCCCCGTTTTTACTTATCTAATAAAATTTTTTATTATTATTATTTTTTAGTTTCATTCTTCAACAAGGTAGTTAGATGATCATTTTTCAGTATAGTCCTGTGTGACTAGCCAGTCCACAATCAACTATGGACTGGCAGTGTATGCATACATTTTAGGTTCTTGTGTTCCAGTGCTGCATTCCTACCATATGTTGCTTGCTGAAGTCAAAATAATATTAGCTGGCAGCTAAAAAAAGGGGAAAAAAGCCAGGTTTTGGATTACTGCAAACAAAAGTGAATGCAGAGACCCATAAACAAGCAGCAACTGAAGGTGGCTGCAGTGAAGGCCTGGCAGAGGCTCTCGACAGAGGAAAACGAATCATTCACTGACTCCAAAGCGTTTTCATCCCAGTATTAAAAACTATCTTTATGTTTAAAATGTTGTTTTATTATTTTTATAAAGCTCTTGTTATGTGTAAAAATGCACATTAGTTTCATCTGAACTTTGCAGTTCATTTTATTCTACCTGAAAACAACAATCATGTGAATATTGCTCCCTATCACTGCCACTAAGATGAGTCAACTTCAGTGTGTGAACGAGAGGAATAATAACACTGACGACTCTTTCACTGTACATATGGGCAAGTCAGTATTGCTTTAATATAGACTTGACAAAACATGAAACTTGTACTTAAAAAACTTAGAACTGAGAATGGAAACTAAGAGTTGAGACAGACAAAAACAAGCTAGCGACCACACTGAAGCCTAGATAGTTTGACTAATAGTAACTTTCACAAGTTGTTTTCACTTGCAGTATTACTTTGCTGCTTATGGATTAGGATTCACATTGATTGTTCAGGAAGATGTCTTTTTGCACTAACATCTACAGAAATATGCACTGACTATGTTTCTCACAGTGAGAGCGCAAACTGGTGTGCAATAAAAGTGGCATTACTATTTTTCCAGAGATTTCTCAAGCTAAAACACTTCCTGATGACATACTAATGAAAAGTAGTCTGAGAAGAAGGTGAAGCTACAATCTGGCTCTTGGACTGTGAAATAATTGGCACGAAATTCAACAATCAGACTTGGCAGCAGTGTCTAACAGTCTACCATGTCTTGAATTGCGTCCCAGTCCACAGACAGGCTGACACATAACCAACAACACAGAAAGACAGCTGAGTTTCTGTAAAACTGTCAAAGCGCTTCTTGATTTTTCTCCTGCCCATCTTTATGTTTAGTTCTGTAGTACCAAACTGTTTTTTTTTCAATACTGAAAATTAAAACGAGTCTCAAGTAACCGAGAGGAAACAAAAACCCTTAGAAGGAAACACTTCCTTCTACTTTACTTCCCTCTCTCCTCCACCCACAGTGTTGCCAGGGAGCCGTATGGAGACTGACAGGCCTGCTACATCTCTCTGTCGTGTCAACTAGCTCGTGCCCTCGGTTCCTCCTCGCTTAAATGAAGAGATAAAAGCCTATTGACTTGCCAGGCTACAGTTAATGCAAATTGGGCTTGCTATCAATGTATTATTTATAGGGAGAGCTGCAGACATTTCCACAGAACTGGGAGCTAAGCTTACAGGAGATTAGGCATGCTATCAAATTCATTTACCAGAGAGTAATTGCTAAACTGTGCAGGAATTAGGATGCGTAAGGTTCCCCAAAGGCGTTTCATCTTGTAACCAGGTGCCTGCCATCAGCCAACCACCTCTGAGATGATTACAAACACTCAGAGGGGAAACTGATAGACTACATCTGTCAAATTGTGAACTGGTAACCTGATGACAACGCTTTCTGAAGAAAATCAAGGTGTTACTAGTTAGCAGCACAACTAAAGCATATTTTAAATGAAATTGTTGAACGATCTTGTTAAACATTCTGGTTGTAACTTGTAAATCTGTCATTCATCATACTGAAAATAAAACACACGCGTTACAAACTCCGGCTGCTGTCGAGTAACTTAGAAGCAGATAAAGGTGTTATGTGCTTTGTGAATAGATTAAATGCAGATTTTACTGCATGCAGCACACACTACGATCTAAGCTAGGAGGCATATGTAGGAAATATTTGTGCATAAAGTGTTCCAAAAATAATAGGTACCGCGTCTTTTCATAAAGAACAGAAAACCAACACTGAAAATCAGTCTCTTGATGTGCAACATTTTTCTTGTCACTTTCATGCTCCGTACGATTCAAATGATCAACAGTGTTGGGACCAGGCGCAGTTGCTTTTTACCCCCTTATCTTTTTTTCGCTAACAATACACTATGACTATCTCCCCTTTCTCAGTTGAGAGCTCAAATTTGTTATTCGCAACTCTCCGATTCTTCATGCGCTGGGTGAGTAAACACAGGAAAAGCAGTCTTACCTTGTCGTCAATGTCACTCTCGCTGTCACACTGTAACAGAAAAGAGACAGACACAGGAAATATAAGGAATTATTCATTTGGCTCCCCACCCCAGTAGCATAATCAGTGCAGATGTTATTTTTGTGTGCAACCTCTCATTCACTGTCAGCTTTCAGTGCAAACGGCAGAGGATGAAGAGGGAAAGGAGAGTGCGGTAGTCTGAAAGAGGTTTTTTTCAAGTTTCAAAAGGAGCACAGTGGCACAAAACGCCTTTCTGGTGTTTCTGTCGCAAATTCACTGCTTTAAATTTGCAAAGGATGAAAATACTTTGCACGGGATTCTATTATAAAGAGTCTGTTTAGTGACTTGGCATTCAGCTGCAGCTTGTCATTTAGCCTTTTAAGTGTGCTTTAAAATTGGACGATAGCATCTCAAGGACACAGAGAGCGTAGGTTCTTTGAATTCTCCAGCACAGTGCCTATTAAGTGTGGTATTTCAAATCCGTGGTGTGACAAACCAGTCTTTAATTTGTATGTCAGTCTTCTACAGGGATAAAGGAACTGAATAACAAGAGAGGTTGTATTCTGAAATGTACCTTGTTCTAGCACAGCTAAAGGCCAAATCACCTTCCATTCAGTCAAGAAGAGAAATGGTTTGTCTTCAGCACTTCAAATTTCACCAATGAAATATGCAGTGATTGGGATCAAATATATCAAAAAGAGTAAAAAGAATATCAAAGAAAAAGATTTCAAAAAAGTCAGACCTTGCCACTTTTTGCAAACAGATGACAAGAATGCTGCAAATACCAAGAGCCCGGCCTTTTATTCCTGGTATGTTCACCGACACAAAACTCTTTTTGGCAAATAATAAAAACACGATTAAACTCGCACAAATACGGGAAATTATTTTCACCTTTACTCCGGAAAAATGTGTTAAGTTAAGGTAAAGTCAATAACCCTGTCTAACAGCATTTGTTTGATTTTCTTTGCAACATTCCTGAACTTGTATGCACCTTACGAGCTCCTGCGTCTAACATTCGCTCGTCACGAACGGCTCCTGGCTGGTTACACCTCAAAGATGGAGAAGCTGTGGAAACAGGAGTGGCTGAGCTGCCTTGCCAGGCCCACTGGACCTCACAGCAGGATGCATGAGGAACAGAGCAATTCAACCAAAGAGCCACATGGAGAAAGGACGACGGTGAAAAAAAACTGCCTTCAATCTGTCAATTAAGTCCCTGTGGCAACATATTTAAGTGGGCCCTCTCTATTTTGTTTGACTCCCTTTCAAAGTGGAGCACAATGAGGAGGGAGCTGTGTCAATGGAGGCACAGTGTCCTTTTGTCGTGAGCGTGGTGGGTCCAAATGTATAATTAAGTAACGAGAGTAATCAGAACAAGGGCTCAGTGGCCAAGATCTCTCAGGAGAGGAGAAAGGGGGGATGTGTGTGAGTGTGTGGGTTCAGGGGTGAGTCCATGCCCAATAGCTTATCCTACTAGGCAATGCCAAAGGTTGGTAGGAGTCCTTGGCTGCAGAGTCATCACTAACAACTCTGTAAGATGTGTGTGTTTACTTATACCAGACATGCAGGAAGAAAATACACTTGTTGGAGGGTATAAAACAAGTATGTGCTCTGAATAACAGAGTGTAGTCATGAACTGTCAAACGCACTGCTTAAATAGTACACACAACGACACCACAAGGAAAATAGTCTTTTCAATAAGTAATTCAATATAAATAGTGGTAAGAATTTTCCTGCCTTTTGATTATTATTATTAACCTTTATTTTACCAGGAAAAGTCCCATTGAGATTAAAAACCTCTTTTTCAAGGGAGTACTGGCCAAGAGGCGACAACATGTTAAAATTACAAAGTTACATGGGATTCATGTCTATATTTCTTCTTTTTGAGCAGTTTACTGGTGGATTTGCTCATGTGCTCAGGCTGATCCTGGTTAAAAGGTCCACTTGTAGCTCAACGAAACTTTCAAGCTTTACTCTTTGATAAGATGTAAAAATCATAGTTAAATCAATGACTGCAGAGATCTGCGATTTCCACTGCAATGTGCAACAGCTTGTAAGAGGTTTTTCTCCTGAACAGGGCTAAGCTACTAGTGATATACAACTTAACCTATATCTTGATCACATTACTACAAATTCCAGGCCTTTGCATATACGTTCAACAACTAGAAATGATATTTTTTCTGCTTCATGTGCCATTTACATTTATATATAACATAATACTTTTCTCAGTGTAGATGCCTACATTTACACAGATGTGATGAACTTTAGGTAAATCTCAAACACTTTTTTCTCTGTTGTTTAACTGAATAAAGTCTGAAATTTTCACCATCTGTAAATTATTCTACTTGCACTAGAAAGAGCTGCTTTATATAATTCGGAGAGCAGGTTAAATCCAATAGATGTCTTTGGGGATCTGTCAGTACGACACCACACATTTCAAAAGCAGAGACCACCAGACCTTAACACTCTAGGATTAACCTAAAAGATCCCCCCCCTCCCCCGCACACACACAAACACACACACACACACACACAGACACACAGAGTACTTAAACAAATGAAAATATTGGACACATTTTTATACAAAATATCTTCTTTTCTCTTCTTTGAACTACTGCTTGTCAAAAGACAATCATTACAAAGTGCCGGGCATTAAGAAGAGAAAGTGGCAAAGGATTCATGTCAATCAGTTTCCATTCAGGCTGTGAATTCCAGACAAATTAATTGCAATCCATTTCTATACTGGTAGTTAGGAGCACATCACAACCTGTTATCATCACCCATTTGTTCCCTCAGAATTCTGGTATTTTACCACAAAGAAATCACATTCAAAACAATGCTTCTCTCCATCTTCATCTAACTATGAATTGCGAAAAAAGAAAAGAAAATTGATCCACTCTCTAACATTACCCCTTCCCTGCAGAAAATGGAGTAAATGTATTCTTAGCATGCAGCTGAACGGATGACTTCCATCTCACAGCAGTTGTGAGATCCATTCTATTACTGAGGACGAGTTTAAACCGTAGGTGATGGAGATGAACAACTGGCATGGTCTATTCCCTGGGTGCATGCTTGGCCTTGTTGTTGCAGCAGTAGCCATGACACTAGATATGAGGCCTCACAAGGCTGGAGCTGGCGAGGAGGAAAAATAATATCAAAAGAGCACAGCATGGTGCTTATCCTTTTACAAGTAGCATGCACTGTAGCAGAGCGAGAAGAGAAATAGTAGCTAGGGCTCAGACAGAGACAGAGAGAGGCACAGCACAGCAGGGGAGAGAGAGGTAGGTGGAAAGAGGGGAACAAAACAACAGTAAGAACAGGCGGGGGGGATGCTATAGAGATGAAGGGATAGGCAGTGTTACAGCAGTTTTTGTCAGGCCCACATGTGATTGCCCTGTTGGGCTATAACACTTGGTCCATTCAAAGAAAGAAACACAATAAAAGTCCAAGATTGGCTCGTGTTTGTGCACGCATTGTTGTTGGCGAGAGCAGCGCTACGTCGTTTAGCACCCTATGCTTCTTTTGACTGTCTGCACGAGGAAAACAATTTTCAGCAAGAAGGTACAAGAAAGCCAAATGATGAAAATGCAAAACCACAACCCCAAACAGAAGCCTCCCTAAACAGCATGTCTGGTGGTCAGAGGGGACATTGTTAAAATCGAAAAGATACGCTGCTCACTAAGCTGCCTGACAGGAGCCAAGCCCCTGGTGGGTTCTGTCTCTTGCAGTACCCCCCGCCCCCCCTCCGCCCCCCACCTCAAAAAAAAAAAAAAAAAAAAAAGGCTAGTTCTTCAGAGGCATGGAGCAAGCAGCAACATCTGCACCTGGCAACCGCCAGCTACGAAGGGCAACGGGGGACCAGAATCAGTGGATGGCTCATCCACAAACCCTCCCTCCCAGCTTTCCACCTCCTCTCCAACCCCTCCTCCCCTCAGCCAGCACATCAGACGAACGCGTTTGACATTTACACAGCTTTCAACACTTCAGAGACAGGAGATTTATTCCGCCAGCGGCCCTGGCTGGAGCCAGGCCTCGACCTGGGCTAGCCCCCATGACGACCCTGTAGCTCAGCCCTGAAATGAGGCAGGGCTGAGAAAGAGAGTAGCGTGAGGGAGGGGGAAAAAAACAGAAAGAGAGGGATGGATGTCTCGATTCTCCTGGACATTTCTCTGGCAGATTCTGATAGACGTGCAAGGGGAAGACAATAAGCGTTGCGCATCCCGGAGCACATTAAAACGACTGGCCAAATTAATCACACAGTTCCACTTGTCACACTCGGAGGACAGTCTGCCATGAATTCTGCCTCAGAGATAGAAAGAGGAACAGAAGAGGAACTTGCCCAGCAACGCAAATGCTGGCATGGCGTCAACAACTGTCTTCCTGAATACTGATCACAAGCCTGTGCTTGCTGCAAGAAATGTTGAAAAAAAGAGAGAGAGCAGGAGAGAGCTGCTGGCATCAAAGTGCCACTGTCAGTTCCTTCTCAAAATAAATAAAGCAGTAAATAAAATGAATAAAAGCAGAAGAGGAGAGCATAAAAGCGTCAGTGCTTTGATAATACTATTCGTGATAAAAGCTTGATTGGCTGTAATTTTTCAAAGTCACTGTAAGGTGTGTTTCTGCTAAATTACAGTCATATCTAATAACTGTAGATGCAATGGCACGACGAGGAACTGGATTAAAGCAAAATTAACTCCTGATAAGCAACCAGTTGTGTTCCATTCAGGCCCAAAACAACATTAACTGACGGGGAGATGGGCGCTGCATCATGACAGCAGCGAAAGAGCATCTGCTTTTCTTGATGTTTTATCCAAATGTATAAAGTTAAAGTGTCCGCGATGCAAAAGTCTACAGCGGTGGAAGAAATGGCTTCAATTTATAAGACATTTCTCCAGGCACATATACTGAGATACCCCTGATTCTAAAAGAAGACCTCTAACAAACCCGGATCTCCTGGAGTGAGAGCACACAGAGGAGGTAATGGTCCATTTAGATGGTCGCGGACGGAAGCGGTGTCGAATACTGGTGGAACAA